CGGGAGTACTGACAGCCATAAACCAAAGTCAAAGCCAGTGCTGGATCCTCAAAGACGAAGCCATGTGCCAGGGTAACTGGGAGATTTTGCTGCTTGGCCTCATGACTTGCTTTGCTGATGAAATGTGAGCGCAGAGAAGCTTTAAATAGTCAGTGTCTGGGTCATCATTTTTCACCTCCTTCTTCCCCGAGATGAAGAAGGTTCCAGATAGAGGCTTTTCCATCGGCCTGTATCCTGAAGTAAAGATGAGAAGGACACATGGTCCCGATCAACCCACAGGTAGATATATTATGCACAAGACGTATCAACAGTAAGCCACCGAGATTTTGGGATTGTTTGTTATCATGGCACGATCTAGTCTACACCGATGGATGCTAAGGCTTCAACTAGACCCCACCCCAGCCTGAGTCATCACGGTTAATTCTATTCTCAGTTCGCATGTTAGTTATCTATTGCTCTATAGCAAATTACCCCACCATTTAGCAGCTTAAAGCAACACACATTTATGATCTCACAGTTTCTGTGTCAGGAGTCAGGGCAGGGCTTATCTGGGTCCTTGGCCTCAGGGTTTCTCACGAGGTTTTCATCGAGGTATAAACCACCCTGGGGTCTCATCCAAAGGCTCAGTGGGGAAGGGTGGGCCTCTGAGCTCCCGTGGTGCTGGCAGCATTCAAGGGCTTGCCGGCCGATGGATCAAGACCTCAGTTCCTGGTTGGCTGTTGGCTGGAGCAGCTGTCGATTCTTTACTGTGTCGGAGTCATGGGGTCTGGTTCTTCAGGGCCTGGTCTGTTAGTTCTTATGCTATTTGTAGGAAGTTTCGTGACAATAGGTCTTGGGCATTCATTTCCCAGAAGCAAACAAGCATAGAAGGCAAGAGTCTGCCAGTGAGACAGATAGATGTCACTGTGCTGTGGAACCTAATCATAAAAGTGACATCCCCTTACTTTTACTCTGTTCATCAGAAACAAGTCATTAGGTCAAGCTCACTGTCAGGGGAGAAATTTCACAAGAACACGAGGCAGCAGCCTCTCGACCAGATTCTTGTCAAAGGAAATGGTCACTGAGTGAAAGTTAGTAGCCCTGTCATCTGTCAGCATTCAACATATGGTAGAGTCACACTCATGCTTGTCCATTCCAGTAATGGCCATATGAACTTAAGTCATATGCTCTTTCAGACCAGGCACAATGGCTCACACCTGTAATCCCAGCTACTTGGGAGGCAGAGATTACAACGATTGTGGTTCTAGGCCAGCCTGGGCAGAAAGTTCCTGAGACCCAATCTTTAAAATAGCCAAATTGAAAAGGGCTGGAGGCATGGATCAAGGGGTACAGCACCTGTCTAGCAAGCATGAGGCCCTGAGATCAAACCCCCAGGACCACACACACACAAACACACAGTTCTTTTAGATGTTTCTTCTTCCTCTTCTCTTTTTTATCCCCTTTCCCCTTCTCCTTCCTGGATGGTAGAGGAGTTTGAACTCAGGGCCTCATGCTTGCTAGGCAAGCACTCTACCATTTGAGCCACATCTCCAGTCCACCCCCCCCTTTTTTTTTGGTTTTAGTTTGTTTTTCAGAGAGGGTCTTGAGATTTTCCCCAGGCCTGTCTTGGACTATGAAACTCCTACCTATGCCTCTTGAGTAGCTGGGATTGTGGAAATGCACCACCATTTCCAGCTTCCCTTTGAAATAGGGTCTGGTGAACTTTTGCAGCCTTGAACTGTGAGCCTTCTCTCTCCACCTCCCATGTGGCTATAACTACAGGTGTGCACCACGACACCCAGCTTCCATCCTTCTTGACAAGAGCCACATTGTCTACCCCATGACCACGTCTGCTACAACTTTGAGTTCTGTTAGGCTGTCTTAAGGTTGGGGTCCAATTTGCCCACAGGCTTGGACAACTCTAATAGCTTCTTAGAACAAAAAAGAATCAACAGGGGTAAGTACCAGAAACCGGTAGAGCTCTGAAGTGCGCAGGGTAGAAAGGTCACACAAGAGGCCATTACATTCTGTTTTATTTATTTATTTATTTATTTTGGTGATGGTGCTGGGGTTTAAACTCAGGGACTTTGCACTTGATAGGCAGGTGCTCTACCACTTGAGCCATGCCTCCAGCCGTTTTCAGATTGGTATTTTTGGCTAGAGTCTCAAATTCACACTGGGGCAGGCCTGGACCTCGACTCCTCCCCTGCCATCCCCCACACACATAAGATTTTCTTTTATATCAACCTGCTATTGCTGAGTGACAAACAGCCCTGAAGCCTTGGGGGTATGCACAAAAAACATGCAGTACTCATTCATTTGTCTGCAGCATGTCAGGAGCAACTCAGTGTCCTAGCCACAACACGTGCAGGTCACCTGGGGAAGTGCTGCCCCCTGGGTCTTTCATTTTTCTGGGACCAGTGGGCTCCCAGAAGTATACCCTGTTCATGGAAATGGCAAAAGCACCATCACAATCCACCCACGAAGCCCCCTTCCAGTCTTTGCATGTGTGACATCTACTGAATTCTCATTGGCCAGAGCAAGTCACATGGTTGGGTCCTGCCCACCATGGGGCTGAGGCTTGAGTGGATGTTCACTCTAGTGATTGACATTCCGGGACTCAGAACTCCATCCCACACACCCTCCCTTGCCTCTACACCATGTTGGAGTTTGAAGCTTATAATTGAAACACCAGGAGCAGATACAAGCAGGTATAAGGCAGGTTTCTGTCCCCATTCTCACCGGACATAGGATGTGTTTAGAGAGAAAATGAAGTGGCAGTGAATGGGACAGGCTGGCCAGGCTCCAGAGAGAGTTTGGAGCTGGGAGAAGCAGGATGTAGCCATTCCTTTCTGTCCATCCCACCTGCAGAAGGCCCAGGAGGTGATGCTGGGAGAGGCGAGGCCCGGCTGTCAATCACAGAGGGGGATAAGGTTCCCTTCTGCAGTGATCTTGCATAGCCTGATGGTAACAGGAGAGGGACTCTCGCTCTAACCTGCCTTGAATACCTGCGTGTGTCCTTTTTTAGCATACGGTAAGGCTCAGGCTCCTGGGCTCCTTCAGGCAGCTGTATCTGGCTACAGGTTGCTTACACTTTTATTTTGGTCCTGTTTATATTTGTCAATTTGTCTTCTATTTTTGGTGGATGGCATTGGCTTCCTGTTTACCTTGGCGATACAGGCTTCCTTTTAAATAAATATTTTAAAATAAACAGAGCTAATTTCACTCTAGTGAACACTACTTCAGGTGGTAGGTAGACACAGCAAAAAGATAGATTGAGCCTGGTCACTAGCATTTGGTAAACATTTTGAAAGAAAAGAATGGGGTTTGTGCAGTCAGTCTGGGTTCAAGTTCACACTCCACCACTTGTATAGGGTATTGGTGAGAGTCTCCATTTCTTCCTGGATGAACCGAAGGCCTCTCACTAGGAAGGTGCTCTACCTTGAGCCATAACTCCAGTCATTTTTGCTTTAGGCTATTTTTCAAACAGGGTCTCTCAGTTTTTGTTTGGAAATGGCCTGGGATGGCAATCCTCCCACTATATCTCTCTGCGAACTGGGATTACAGGTGGGAGTCACCACCCCTGGCCAGTGTGTAACTGTTATGTTACAGTTCAAGTGAACATCTTCCTGTCCCTCTCACTTCGGGGTGAGTCTTCATTAGTCATACAATTAAAAGGGACCAGACAAATTGGGGCAGTTCAGGAGCTGGGGTGGGTGACCCTTGGTGGTGGGGGAGCCCAGTGAGCTCCTCTCATCACAGGATTTAAAAAGATGTCCATCAGACAAGTTTGACATGGTATCTCAGGCACACCACACGATTGTGCAATAAATTCCTATTTCTTGTCAGCCGCACAAGTCAATTGCCTTGTATTTTTGGTTTGTGCAAGTAACATTTAACCTGTAAAATGTTTTAAAATACACAGTAATATGTTTTGGAATTTCTTCAAATTTTAAAATATACCCCTCAGCACACAGGCTGGGCCTTGGGCTTCTCTGGCCTCCTTCGTCATCCTCCTAGGAGCCTCCAGGGTAGATAGGCTCTCTGCTTTCAGATGAGGAAACTGAGGCTGGAAAGAAAGGCAATTCCTGGTCTTTTGAAATCATTTTCAGGACAATAAATTCCAGGACTTCGGGTTCAAAGGACTTGGGGAATGATTTGTGTATGTGTGTAGGGGAGAGATGCATATTGGTGGGGATAGTCCATGGCGATTCATGAAGGAATCCTTTCTTTGTGGGGGGCTGGGGTTTGAATTTGGGGCTTTGCACTTGCAAAGCAGGCGCTCTACTCTTAAGTCACACCTCCAGTTCATTTCGCTCTGGTTATTTTGGAGGTGTGTGTGTGGGGGGGTCTCATGAGCTATTTGCACAGGCTGGCCTCGAACTTCCATCCTGCTGATCTCACCCTTCCAAGTAGCTAGGATTACAGCCGTGAGCCACCGGTGCCCTGCTCATGAACACATCTTAACACTGGTTGCTAGCGGCCCTGTCACCTCACTCCAAGTGAGTCCTGCACCTCCGATAGATAACAAGAATAGCAATGGCTGACATTTATGGAGCGCTCACCAGGCCCTGAATGCATTACCATATAGACGCAAGAGGTCCTCTTGTGACCCCCATTTCCAGGGAAGGGAACTGAGGCAGGAGAGATTAAGAACGAGCCCACCAAGTTAATACGCGTGCCAGAGAAACTGTGCTAAGAGGGGGGTCGGATTCCAGAACCCCTATCCCGAAGGTCAGGGGAGCAAAGGGGAGAGGGGAGGACCCGGCCACTTGCGAGGGGGTTGCGGCTGGAGACTTCCAGCTCCGGGAGCTTCGCCTGCGCTCTCGGCCTGGGCGCCACCGACTCCGCCCCGAACTTGGCCGGAGCGCGGCCGGGAGGGAGGCGGGCTGGGGCGGGGGCGCCGCCTTTGCCTGGCCGGTCCCCCGTCGTCCTCCTGCGGTCCCTCCCCTCGGCTCCGGGCTCCTGACATCACGGTCCGGGAGGCGGGATCGGGAAGGAGGGGGCCGCGGGGAGGAGGAGGGAGGGCGCACAGTCCCAGCCAGAGCTTCAAAACAGCCCGGCGCCTCGCCTGCCTCGCGTGCAGCCCGTCCGTCTGTCTGTCCGGCCGCCCGCGCCTGGTGAGTGGGGGGCGCGCCCAGGAGCCGCGCGCGGACACGGGGGTGGTGTCAGGGTTCTGGGGGGGGCAGCAGGGGCACGACCACTCCTTTTAAGGACCCGAGAGGCCCCCCCGGGGGTGGTGGCAGGCCGGGAGGGGCCGAGGCGCGGTCCGTGCGGCGGACCCTCTGTTAATCCACGGGATCCGCCCTCGCCACCGCGGGGTCCCCCTCGCCCCCCTCGGGGCAGCACCCGTAGCCTGTTGCGCCGAAGCGGGCGGGAAAAGTTTGGGGAGGAGTCGGGGCGGCTCCCCTCGCCCTTGCCAGTTTCAGATCTGGGAATCTGGGGGTCCTGGGCGGTCCCCTTGTCGCGTGTGGGACCCCGACGCCCCGGCGCCTGGGCCCCAGCGGTGCGGATCGAGCCGGACCCACGGCGCCCAGGCCAGGACAGCCGGGTCCCCGCGGGCTGCGCACCCCGCTCGGCCCGGCCGCGGCTCTGTGGCGCCCCCCAGCGGCCAGGAGCGACTTCCTTGGGCGCGCAGCGGTGCCTGAGCCCCTCGGCCCTTGGAGGGGTTTTGGGGCAAGGAAGGGTCCCACTTAAGGGAGTCTGAGTGAGGGGCTTGGATAAGGACTTAAGCCCCCCAGCTCGGATTCTGTGTCATCCCACTTTTATGGGGCACCTAGAATCAGCAAATTCATAAGACGGAGTGCCAGGGCCGGGCCTGGGTGACAACGAGGGTTAGTGTTTAGTGGGTACAGTTTTTTTGTTGGGGAGGATGAAAAGTTTTGGGTATAGACCGTGGTGATGGTTACACAACCTTGTGGGCGATTCCCTGCCACTGAGTCGTACGCTTACACAGGGTGAAAATCATTACTGTATTATGTATATTTACCTTTTGGGATGACAAGAGACGCCTGTACTCAGTCTGCATCCGACAGAGAAAGCGCAGAGCTGAGGCCCCTAGGCGCCACACCCCTCCCTCCCCGCCCCGCTCCCTGGAATGTCACCTCTTGATAAGGAAAGGAAGGAGGACCACAAAGGCACAGGTTTCCCAGAGCCGTGGGGAAGAGGATGGTGGAGCCGAGGAGGTACAGTGGGCTGTGCTTTCCCCTCTCTCTATGGGAGCCCCACCCTGAGCTGTTTCCAGCACCCGTCCCTTGTCGCAGATGGGAAAACCCAGGCCCACGCGATGTCCAAGTCTAAGCCACCAAGCTCCAAGCGCAGGAGCCTGGCTTGGAACCTTCACCTGCCTCCCTCCCAAGTCCTTCCCCCACTTTCCACCTGGAGATGCCTTCGTGGTTGGTGGGTTTCGGGAAATGAGAGAAGATGCTTCAGGGCCAAACCAGCCAAGATGCCCACGGGGGCCTTGGCAGGAAGATGCCCAGCCCACAGCCGAGGGAAGGGTGTGGGGGTGGCAGGAAGGTGCCGAACCTGTTTTCCCACTGAAGGGTTTTGGATCCCTCCAGTCTCCACCCCCACAGGAACTGGGGAGTCGGGTGGGAGGCAGAGAGCAGGTCACACAGCCTGGAGCCACCTCTGTCCCTTGAGTGGAGAAACTGAGATTTGCCCGCCATCAGGGGAAAGGGGTTTGTGTGGGAAGATGGGGGGTGGCCAGAGGGGAGGGCCTGCTCTCAGTATGGCACGCCCCAACGGGATATTCAGTTGTAAATACAAATACAGAGCAGTTCAACCAGCTATGGTACTGGTACCTAGATTTCTTCTGCCTCTCTCTCTCTCTCTCTCTCTCTCTCTCTCTCTCTCTCTCTCTCTTCCCCATCTCTCTCTTTCTCTCTGTCTCTGTCTCTCTCTCTCTCTCTCAGTGCTGAGGTTTGAACTCAGGGCCTACACCTCAAGCCAGTCCACCAGACTGGGTCTCTCGAACTACTTCCCTGGGCTACCTTTGAACCCCAATCTCCTGATCTCTGCCTCTTGAGTAGCTAGGATTATAAGTGTGAGCCACTGCCGTGAGGCTAAAATAACATTTTTAATTGAAGAGAATAGCTATCTTCTGTTATCTGTAAGATTACAGGTGTGTCTTCTGCCTCTCTCATGGTATCTTCACCATAGGAACTAAAACCACTTGCAGGTGGTGATGCACCTGGAGAGTGAACTGGCCTGTGCTCCAGCCACACCTACACTGGCACTCCCCGCCCTCCACACTCACTGCCTCGGCCCTCCATCTCTCTGGAGGTTCCCCTAGTTTGTGGGGCTCATCAAAGTCCAGTTCTTTGTCAAAGTGCACTGCAGCAGGCAGACATAACCAGAAAGGAAGTCTGCCGAGACAAAACTATATAAAAACCTTTCCAGGCCAGATAGGATGGCCTTGGACTGCTGGCTGGCTGACTGGCGGGATTTGTTTGGGAGGCAGGAGTCCAGTCACCACCACCCGTCCCTGGGGTGGAAGACGGCTAATTGTGTGTTGTGTTGCAACATGTGACTGATGCCCAGGTCTGTGGCCAAGCGGGGACTCTGACACAGGCTTCAGGGGCTACCGTGGGGATGGGCTCTCCAGCCACGGGCAGCTCCAGAGTGGTGGCCTTTATCACCAGAAAGTGCTGGGATCCCTAGCACTGGGACTGAGGCTCAGAGCCCTCCTAAAGGAGGCAGTTAGAGGCTGACTGAGGGAGCCTGTGCAGGAAGTTTGTGGTGTGTGGTGTGTGGTGTGTGTCAGGACTTAGGAAGGACATGACTGGCAGGCACAGTTGGAATGGGAGAAAAGGGCAGCTGGCATCCCAGAAGGAACTGGAGCCTGATTCTGGGCTGTCGGGCCTCAGCTTGTCCAGGGAAGGAACAACACAGGTGTGGAGTGGCAGGAAGAGGAGGTGCCCCCCTTCGCTCTGGGAGTGGTGACGCCTGGCTCCCTGCAAACTTACCCAGAGTGCCGTTTAGGCAGCACGGTGGCTGGGATCAGGAATTTGGTGCATCTGGCTCTTGTTAGGGACTGGCGGAGGGGGGCAGGCTAAAAATAACCCGGCCAGAGCAGCCACTCGGGAAAGTGCTGGAGGCTGGTAACCTGACACCCGGGGTGAGGCTGGTGGCAGTGGTGGTGACTGATGGTGACATTACCAGGATAGTTGTACTCCTGGGTCAGTTGTACTCCTCCAGGCAGCCAAGCCCGTGGTCGGACTTGAGCACTGGGCATTCAGGAAGACCTCCTTGTCAAGACTGGAGAATTCCAGGGACTCAGGGACCTTAGAAAGTCCCAGTTTGACCTCTAGGGACTCAGAGAGGTGGAGTGAGTTGTGCAAGGTTGCACAGCAAGTTGGTGGCAAACCCAGGGCTTGATCTGGGTGTCAGGAGTGGTTCCAAGAGAAAGGAATTCAATGGCTGGGGAGTGGTCAGTGGGATTCCAGTCACAGGTCTCCATGGTGTCCCTTGTGGCATGTGTCATCTGTCTGGGATGCTGGACACTCATGTTCACTCACATTCACATCCTGATGCGCAGAGACTTACACTCAAGCAATGGATCACTTCCCCTTGAGCGGCTGGCTGGTGTCTCTCCTGCGAGCTGGCAGGCTCTGAGGCAGGAAGTCAGAGGAGGGGGATGGAGGGGAACTGGGTGAATGTCCCCTTCCTCCTCTGTGCAGAGACATGGTTGGCTGCAATCACCCAGTATCTCTGTTGCTTAATGAGTTGGTTGAAGAATTGAGTCTCTAGGCTTCACCTTCCTTGGGAAGTCAGGCTTCTGTTGATCTCTAAGGCACTGAGAGGGAAGAGGGGGTCACTTTGGTTCTCATCCTTCCTGACCAGGCTAGGTGAGGCCAGCTGCTAGAAGCTTCCTAGGTCTCTGGATCTGGAGCCGAGGGAGGGAGCTCTAGGTGATATTGGGTATTAACACTGAACCCAGGAATCTGAGCTGCAAGATATCTGTCACCATGCAGCCTAGAGAGATGGCTCAGTTCAGTTCCCGCCACAAACTGCTCGGAAGTTAAAGTCAGTAACTACCTGACAGCAGAGTCCCTCCTGCACTGAGAGCTTTCTGATCGCCAGCTTCTCTGGTAAACCATCTTTCTTTGAAAGGAAATTAGTAAGCTGGCACTGGTGGCTCATGCCTGTTTAGGAGGCAAAGATCAGGAGGATGGTGGTTCGAAGCCTCCTTTTTTGAGACCCTATCTCAAAAAAACCCAACACAAAATTTGCAGTGGATAAATATGACCCCCAAGTTATCTCATTAATTTTTATTCTAATGAATATTTTCCAAGGTGTGTTTTCATTGGCGGTGCCCAGGATAATTTTAAATGATGGGCAGCTGAACATCAAAACAAGAAAGATGAATTATGTATTTTGGGGGGTCGGCATTTGAAAAAATATGTAAATATAGCACCCAACCCTATGGACTCATAAATGTGACTGGTTAAGGTCAAAGGAAAGTTGATGTTTTAAACTTTAAAGCCTTTTTGAAATAATAAAAGAACTTAATATGCACAGGTGGTTCTTGAGTTTGGTAAAAATCTTAGAATTTTAGTGATGCCTTTTGTGAGATTTCTTGTTGTTGTTTTATTGTGGGTTACTGGGGATTATGATCAGGGCCTTGTACCTCAGGGCTCTCTCTTGGGTCATGCACCCAGTCCTTTTTGCCTTAGTTTCTTTTTCAGGTAGGGTCTCGCCTTATTTGCCTGGGTTGACCTTGTACCTTGATCCTCCTATTGCTGAGCTGGGATTACAGATGTACACTCTACGCTGGTTTGTGGAGATGGTTTTCTAATGGGGATTGGGATGGACATGTTTCACCCTTTCGATGACCAGACTAATCCAGAAACACCTGTGAGCTCCCCACCCACGCTCCTGTTCGGCTTCAGACATACCTGCCACTTAGCTTTCTAGGAGTCTCTTCATCGTTAATGAGGGTCACTGCTCTGCCTCAGTGGCCTCCTTGGTTGCTCCGAGGATCACAGGAGAGGATCTATTGATGTTTGTGGTTTGCTTAACCAAAGCAAGGCCAAGGGAGAGGCCAGCTCGCTCACTTTAATCTTGATGGGCATTACTACAGGACTCTAAGCAATGGGCGACACCAAGGGGCACT